AACCAGAAAAAAAAAAAGTCTCATGGACTTTTCCTACCCAGGTTGGCTTTGAACTGCGACCCTCAGATCTCAGCCTCCTGATAGCTAGGATTGATTACAGGCGTGAACCATCGACACCCAGCTTACTTTCAACTTTCTAAAATGTGTATCAAAGAGTAACTATTTATGGACAGAATTCACAGGTGTACTCTATTCACCTTAACTAGAAATTCATGTCACTAAAGAGCCTACAGAACTCTAATTCTAACATTCTTTTTTGTTGTTGTTGGTTGTGGGGCCTGAACTCTGGGCCAGGGCGCTGTCTCTCAGCTCTTCAGCTCAAGGCTAGCACTCTACCACTTGAGCCACAGCACCACTTCTGCTTATGTGGTGCTGAGGAATTGAACCCAGGGCCTCATGCATATAAGGCAAGCATTCTACCACTGAGCCACCTTCCCAGCCCCCATTCTTTCTATAACATAGTGGTTCACCAACCTCTAGTGTGCCCAACAACCTAGCCAAGCCAGTTAATTTTGGGGGGGGGGGGGGGGGGGGAGGTCGTGGTCGTGGTCGAGTAATCGCCTGCGGGGGGGGGGAGGGAGGGTCAGTTGTGGTACCTGAACTCGGCCTGGGCACTATCTCTCAGCTCTTTTGCTCAAGGCTAGCACTCTATCACTTTGAGTAACAGCTCCATTTCCAGCATTTTGGTAGTTAATTGAAGACAAGAGTCTTATAGACTTTCCTGACCTGACCAGGTTGGTTTTGAACTGTAATCCTCAGATCTCAGCCTCCTGAGTAGCTAGGATTACAGGTGTGAGCCACTAGTGCCTGGCTAAGTAAGTTATTAAAAGCACTAATGTCCAAGCCCCATTCTCAAAAATTGTTTTTGCTCCCATAATTCAGGTTAGGATCAGAATTCACATTTTGAACAAATACTTCAAGTGAGTTTTAAAGCAAGAGATCAAAGTTTCTGGATATATAGGAAATCATATAAAATAAAGAATATATGAAGTATATGAGTCTTCTAGCACTGAGATTATCATCTAAAATCCTGCATTTCTTCTCCCATATTGGAACTCGTAAAGTTACTCACTGCTACTTGGGCGGAATCCATAAATCTCAGACCAAAATAGTCACTTTCAATCAGGTCCAAGTGATACATAATCTGGTCAAACAGCTCTTGTCCTTTGGCTTTTTTCTGAAATGACAAGAAAATAATCAGTGAGAAGCTTATAAAATAAACATGCCTAAACAGAAGATAGTGTCAGTTATACAGGATCTCTTAAAGAATCAACACAATCAAAGTATAACTCTGTAGCAAATGGATAAGACATGGTAGTTTTTCAGTCAACTACTTTAGGCCAAAAGAAACTGTGATCTACATATATTTCCCAAAAGATTATTCCTGTAGGCCAACAAAAATTACCAATTTCTTCTACCTTGTTTGTGCTTTCTCTGTTTTCTTTGATTAAAATCAGATTTCATATTCTTCTAGACTCGAGTTATATGGTCACTTCAGCAAAAAAAAAAGAATTATCAAAATATTATTAAGCTAAAACTGGAGCCATTTTACTTAAGTATTACTCTGCCTCCTTCCCTGTTTTTACTAACTAGGAGGTAGCATAATTTATTGTTTCATCTTAATTTTATAGATAATATTCTACCAAGTAGAACTTGATAGCTTTAGTACAAATATTATTTGGCTTTTTAAGTGATTTTTGTTTAAACAATGAGAAATTGCTCCTATTCTGAACATCATCATGTGCTGAAGAAAACCACCTATACCTGAAGGAACTTATAGTTAGCAGTATTAAGAAAATTAGACCAGTTATTTGACTGTCAACTCTTGATTTGTCCCCTCTGCTGCCTGAGTCCCTTTCTACAGTACAGATTTCTAGAGAATGCTAAACTCTGATTTTAAGACCTTTCTAAATTGGTATATGTGTTTCTTGAGTGATGTTATCAGTGTTTTTGTAAATATTTACTATGTTTTTCTACTTGGCTTTATCATTTTGTATTTTAATAAAAATGTTCTAAGTATTCAAAAATTACCAATTGAGGCTGGGAAGATGGCTCAGTGGTAGAGCGCTTGCCTTGCATGCATGAGGCCCTGGGTTCGATTCCTCAGCACCACATAAGCAAAAAAAAAAGCAAAAAAATTACCAATTATGATATATGTAAATAAGGAAGACATTCTTGCTTTGTCTTCACATGAGGGGGAGAGATGTGGTAGCTAAATCCAGCCAAGATCTAACAAATTCTAAGCATACACTACTATTAAGCTATGCCTTGAGTTTCTTCCTGGGGGATATTTTTGTTAAGTATCTAAAGGAACACAGAGTAATTGAAAAAAGAAATTACAACAAAATTTAGAGCACTTAAGTACAAATTACACAACAATGTAACTAAACTTGCAAACATATTTTAGAAAACAGATAACAGACAAGAAAGATCTGTAAGGGCTTACTAGAGAAAAATCAGACTAGAACCAGAGGCTGGGAATATGGCATAGTGGTAGAATGTTTGTCTAGCATGCATGAAGCCCTGGGTTCCATTCCTCAGTACCAAATAAACAGCAAAGGCAGGAGAAGAGCTGTGGTTCAAATGGTAGAATACTAGCCCCTTGAGCACAGAGAGGCTCAGGAATAGTGGCTAGGCCCTGAGTTCAAGCGCCAGGACTGGGGAAAAAACAAAAAACTAGAACCAAATATAAGGTAGGAAATTAGCAAATACAAAAATTCTGGGAACAGGAAGTGTCGCTGTGGATCAAGTGGTAGAGTGCTCGCCTTGAGCTGAAGAGCTCAGGGACAGTGCCCAACAAGCCCAGAGTTCAAGCCGCACGACCGACAAAAAAAAACTTCTGGGAACTAAATCTATTATTTAAGTTCAACATTTGTTGAATGTTGAAAGTTGAACATTCCTTAAACATTCCTCTTCTATTTTTGTCATATTAAGTTTGCTGCCTAAGTGCTAGCCCTTCTGTTTTTTGTTCGTTTTCATTTTCACCAGTCCTAGGGTTTAAACTCAGGGCTTAGGCACCACCCAAGATTTTGCTTAGGGCTAGCATCCTAACACTTGAGCCACAGTTCTCCTTCCAGCTTTTTGGTGGTTAATTGAAGGTTAAGAGTCTCGCAGACTTTCTTGCCTGGTCTGGCTCTGAACTGAGATCCTCAGATCTCAGCCTCCTGAGTAACTAAGATTACAGATGTGAGCCACTGTTTGACATTTTTAAGAATCCTAACAGCTTCTTCTAAAAGCTTCTTCTGCTTTTGTTTTAACATACATTCAAACAATAATATTGGTAATTATGGCTTATCCATTTAATACAGAACAGACAAAAAAATCCAAACTATAGAAAAGACTGTTCCCTCTACCCACTGAAAATCCTAGACACCTTTCTGGAAAATCTCCTCACCATATATGCAAGGGTTTATTTCCTGGCTCTCTATTCTATTCCTCTAGTCTACGGCTGTCTTTAATGACTATAGTAAAGATACTATTCTAGATTACTACAGTTTTATATTATATTGTGAAATCCAAGATGTATGAGTCCTCTAACTTACTTTTTTTCCAGGACTGTTTGGCTATTTGTTTAAGGATCCTTTGAGATTCCACATGAAATTTAGAATGAACTTTTTTCTTCTTCTGACAAAAACAAAAATGGGGGGCTGGGAAGGTGGCTCAGTGGTAGAGTGCTTGCCTTGCATGCATGAGGCCCTGGGTTCAATTCCTCAGCACCACATAAGCAGAAAAAGCCGGAAGTGGCTCTGTGGCTCAAGTGGTAGAGCAGTCACCTTGAGCTGAAGAGCTGAGGGACAGTGCCCAGGCCCAGAGTTCAAGCACAGGACTGGCAAAAAAAAAAAATTCACTAAAAGAAAAAATGAGATATTGATAGGAACTGTTTTTAATCTACAAATCACTTTCAGCAGTACAATCTTTAGTCTTTTAACCATTCAACATGACCATTGATTTGTTTCATTTCTCTCAGCCATGTTTTATAGTTTTTAGTGTGCAAATCATTAACCTGCTTGAATGAATTTATCCCTGAATATTTTATGTTCCTTGAAGCTACTGTAAATGGCAACTTTCCTTAATTTCATTTTCAGTCTGTTTACTGCATATATATAGAAACAAAGATGCTTCTTTTAATCTTACAATATTGCTAAATTCATTTAGTAGCTTTTTTTGTTTTGCTCTGTGAAAGAGATCTTAAATCTGTATCTACTTCAGAGTTATTTAAGATCTTCTCAGGGCTGGGAAGGTGGCTCAGTGGTAGAGGGCTTGCCTTGACTACATGAGGTCTTGGTTTTGATTCCTCAGCACCACATAAGCAGCAAAAGCCAGAAGTAGTGCTGTGGCTCAAGTAGTAGAGTACTGGCCTTGAGCTGAAGAGCTGAGGGACAGTGCCCAGGCCCAGAGTTCAGGGCCCACGACCCACCCACCCCCAAACACACACACACACACAAAGATCAAAGATCATGTCAACTGAAAGAGAAATATTTTACTCTTTGCCTTCCAATTTGAATGTCTTATTTATCTTTTCTCCTAATTGCTCTGGTTAGAAGTTTGAATACTATGAATAAAAATGGAAAAAAGCAGGCTGCTTGTCCTGATCTTAGGAAGAAAAGTACTACTTTTAACTTTTCATTTGTATTTTAAATTTTATTTTACTTTTATGCCTCCTATTTTGTTCTTCCAATAGGAGAAGATTTTTTTTGGGGGGGAGGGGGTCGGTTTTGAACCGCAATCCTCAGATCTCAGCCTCCTTAGTAGCTAGAATTACAAGCGTGAGCCACCAGCACCCAGCAGGAGGAGTTCTTAAATATGATCTTCCAGCTAATTTCTCCTCGAAATTAACTGATTTTTTTTGGGGGGGTGAGTTGTGGGGCTTGAACTCTGAGCCCGGGCCCTGTCCCTCAGCTCTTCAGCTCAAGACTAGTGCTCTACCACTTGAGCCACAGTGCCACTTCTGGTTTTCTGGTGGTTTATTAGAGTTCAGAGTCTCATGGGCTTTCTTGCCCAGGCTGGCTGTGAACTGCGATCCTCAGATCTCAGCCTCCTGAATAGCTAGGATTACAGGCGTGAGCCACAGCACCCGGCTTAATTGATCTTAATTCTATCCAATCAAATGTTTCTAAATTTTTATACTTCCCATACCTATTATTTCCTCTCAGTTCTTGTTAAGCTTACATTCATTTCATATTGCTAATCTTACTATATGTTTTAGAAATTATATTGGACTTATCTTTTTGGCTGCCTTTGCTCTGGTGATGGCTACAGTTCAGTTTGCCTGATTTTGCTTTTGAGGTACTTATGTTTGCTTATTTTGGATACATTCACTAGGGACTATGAGTTGCCATCTCTAGGCTACAGATAACAAGACAACTCTGGAGCCTATGACAACATCATATAGCTATGTGAGACACGAAGTATGGGAAGGGAAACAGGTAGTACCCTAGACAACACAGGCCCAAAAAACAGAAACCACTTTCTATACAACAAACAACTCTTGAAACTAGTGATTTATTCACTCCCATTCCCTAAGAAAAAAACAGGAGTTTCAGGAAGGGGCATTACTCTAATTGTAATTCACAATCCTCTAAGAGTTTGGTTGAAAAGGAGTAGGAAATTTTGGTTAAGAGAATTTTAACAGAGATGAACTGTATAGAGGTAAGGAACTTTTTAGGCAGTTCAAAAGAGAAACATGGCTTAATTTTTTAAGCCATGCTTAATATCCTGCGAAAGCACATTTCCCAGCCTCTTGAAATATGGCAGAAAAAGAATGGCCATTTGAAAATAAAAACTTTTCAAGGTTCTGTATTTTACTCTTCCTTGAGAAAGGTGCCTTTTCCAGGCCACCCAATAGTGAATATAAGAAGTTTGTAGGTTCCTGAACTTAGTAATTCAGTCTAACAAATAATCTGAAATGTCAAAAGAGAATCTTTCAAAATATCTTAAACTAGCTTTTAGGGGTAATATGGAAATTTTAAAAACTTTCACCCAAAAATCTAGCCCGCAAGAGTAAAAAACTACACAATATCATGAAAATAAGTCACAATTACAAGTAAATTCAGAAACAATGGTATTCCAGTTTCAGAAAGATATCTGATTTTGACTCAGAAATGTGTTATAAGGTACAAAACCATGGTGTTGAAGGTTAATTTTGAAAATTAACATTAATATCAACCTTAGAAATAG